GTACGAGGTCGAGGCGATGGTCAAGGCCGCGCCGGACTTTGCGCCGGTCGAGGTGGTCTCCTACGACGGCCTGACCGCGGATTTCGCGAAGGAGATCGGCGCGACGGCGCTGCTCAAGGGCATCCGCAACCTCTCGGACCTGCAGAGCGAGATCCAGCAGGCGATCACGAACCGGCAGGTGGGCGGGCTCGAGACGGCGTTCGTCGTCGCGGGGCAGGACTTCGCGTACACCTCCTCCACGCTCATCCGCCAGGTCACGGCGATGGGCGACGACCTGTCCGTCCTCTCCACGATGGTGCCCGAGAGCGTGATCGAGCGGCTCCGCGCGAAGAAGGCGGAGGGGTCCGACGTTCTCCGCAAACTCATGGAGTACGCGTGAGCCTCGAGTGGCGGGTGATTTCGATCGGCGCGATGGCGGCGCACGACCTCCGCAACGAGCGCGAGCCGGTGCGCACCGGGCACGCGACCACGGTGCTCGCGCGCGCTGGGGACGTGACGCTGATCGTCGACCCGGGGCTGCCGGCGTCGATCCTGGGGCCGCGGCTCGCGGAGCGGGCGGGGATCGAGCCGAAGGACGTGACGCACGTGTTCCTCACCAGCTTCCGCCCGGACGTGCGGCGCGGGCTCGACCTCTTTGAGAAGGCGTCGTGGCTCGTCGCGGAGCGGGAGCGCGAGGCGGTGGGCGTGCCGATGGTCGCGTCGTACCGCGACGCCGAAGAAGAGGGTGACCGCGAGCTCAAGGCGGCGCTGGAGCTGGACATCGCGATGCTCCAGCGGTGCGCCGCGGCGCCGGACTCGATCGCGGAGGGCATCGACCTGTTCCCTCTTCCCGGCGTCTCGCCCGGGCTCACGGGGCTGATCCTGGCGGACCCGCGGATGACGGTGCTCCTCGCGGGGGACGCGGTGCCGACGATCGAGCACCTGGAGCGGGGCAAGATCCCCAAGGGCGCGGCGGACCTGGAGCTGGCGCGGGAATCGTTCGCGGAGGCGGTGGAGATCGCGGACGTGATCGTCTGCGGGCGGGACAACGCTGTTGTGAACCCCACGAAGCGTCCGTTCTGATCCGCGCCGGTAGACTTGGGTATGGCATTTTTCCTGAAACGTGCGGTCCGCGCGGGCCTGACGCTCGCGCTCTCGCTTGGGTGCTCGGGCGTCGCGCTGGCGCAGGCGAACGAGGAGGCGACGCTCGCGTCGCTGCGCCAGCTGGGCGAGCGGGCGCAGTCGATCCGCGTGTCGATCGCGGACGGGGCGGACGTGGTGATCGTTCCCGACGAGGCGAGCTACGCGAGCGCGATCGAGTCGTGGACGCTCAAGGTGCGGTTCCCGGTGCTGATCGACGACGGCACGCCCGAGGCGCGGGAGCGGATCGGCCGGTTCGTGCGCGCGTACGAGCCGGCGCGGGTCGTGCGGTGGGCCGCGCCCGAGGGCGAGGACCTGGGCGTCCGCGAGCGGTACGAGCGGGCGATGGCGCGTTCGTGGGAGCAGACGGACATGGCGTCGCTGCTCGAGCTCTGGAAGGCGAGCAACTTTTCGCCGCTCGGCGCGGTGGTGGTGAGCGAGCGTGACCCGTCGTGGGTGGCGGGGCTCGCGCTGGCGTCGGGGCGGGGGCAGGTGACGATCTGGACGGACGCGAAGCCCGGGCGCGTGGGCGGGATGATGACCGACGAGGAGCTCGAGACGCTGGACGCGAGCCTGCGCGCGGGGCTGGATTCGTGCGGGTGGTCGTGGAACCGTCTGGGCGACGCGATCGAGGCGGTGACGCTCGCGATGGACCTGCCGACGCGGTACCGCGAGAAGGGGGAGGTGATGGCGGTGACGGACCGGATCGGCCGACACGGGGTGGGCCGTCGGTACGCGTACGCGGGGATGATCTTCGGGGACGCGAGCGCGAGCGCGTACAGCGCGATGTGCGCGCTGTTCCTGCTGCCCAACGGCGCGTGGATGTTCGACGGGTACGACGAGCGTTTCGCGCCGCCCTACGCGCTGCGCGAGGCGGAGACGCTCACGCGGGCGGTGGAGTGGCCGACGCTCGCGCTGCACCCGCCGTCGAACTCGCCGGTCTCGTGGCGGAACTCGGTGCGGTTCGGCGTGAACGCGGGGTTCGTCCACGTGAACACGAGCGGTCGCTTCGACCGGTTCGACGTGAACAACGGCAGCCTCTACGGGCACGACGTGCCGACGCTGGAGGTCCCGGCGATCGTGCACTTCATCCACTCGTACAGCGCCCAGCGCTTGAACGGCGACCGCAACATCGCGGGGCGTTTCATCGACAACGGCGCGTACATCTACGTCGGCTCGGTGGATGAGCCGTACGTCACCGCCTTCGTGCCCTGCGACAAGCTGCTGCGTCGGCTGTTCACGTCGATGCCGATGGGCGGCGCGGCGCGGGCGGAATCGCGGACGACGGTGTGGAAGGTCAACTACTTCGGCGACCCGCTCAAGGTGATCGGGCTGCCCTCGCCCCGCTCGGAGGAGCCGGTCTCGCTGGCCGGCGCCGCGACGCTCGAGAGCGAGATGCAGGCGGCGATCAAGGGGCGGGCGCTGGGCGAGGCGGCGGGGCTGCTCGTGATGATGGGCCGCGACGCCACGGCGGTGCAGCTCGCGAAGGCGAAAACGCAGCAGGTGTCGGAGGGGGGCGAGCCGATCGATCCGGCGCTCGCGCGGGCGGCCTTCGGCGCGGCGCAGCGGGCGGGGGACGCGGAACTGCTCTTCGATCTGGCGGAGGCGCTGATCCGCGCCGACGAGCTCGGGGACCGCGACGTGGACACGCTGTGGCAGGTGATCCGGCCGACGCTGGGCTCGACCGAGCGCACGGAGATCGTGCGGGCGCTGAGCGAGAACGTGCGGGCGGCGAGCATCGTGCAGGACGCGGAGGACCTCGCCCCGACGGTGTCGCGGCTGCTCGGGCGAGACGCGGCCAAGGCGATGGTGGACGGGCTCGTCCAGTCGGCGCGTCGGGATCAGGACAAGGAATCGCTCCGCCAGCTGGCCCGGCGCTACCGGGCGCCCTGAGCGGAGACGGCCCGTCGGTACGGGACGCCGGCGGTCTCGGCGCCGTGCTCGAGCACGCGGGCGAAGACGCCGATGCTCGTGTCGAGCTCGACCGTGGTGTCGACGCGGTGCTCGACGAGGGCCTGGCTCACCATGAGCGTCGGGTCGGGTTTGCGCAGGGTCACGAACACGTGCGTCTCGCGGTAGGCGGGGCGCTTGTCGTCGAGGCTGACGCTCCAGCCGCCCGTCGGCGCGGTGAAGACGGCGAGGTGGTTGCCCGTGATGGCCACGAGGGACGCGTCCGGCCCGGCGTAGGTCCCGATGGTGTCGATGGGGGTGCGCTCCGGCGCGGAGCACGCGGCCGGCCCGAGGAGGGCGGCGGCGAGCGCGAGCGATGACACAACAGATCGGGCGGTGCGGCGCTGGGGCATGGTGATGTTGTGTATATCGCCCGGGGACGTTGTGTGCGCATGAAAAAAGGCGATCGCGGCCTGGAGGAGCACCGCCGCGATCGCCTCGCCTGAAAGAAGAGAGCTGGCAACCAGCAGGAGTGAGGTCGTGCCCTGTGCGTCTCGTGCGGGAGGCGTTCCCGAAGAGAGAAAAGAACGCCAGAGAGATCCGTCCCGTGTGTGAGACTTTCGGGCCTGGTTGCCGCGTGCGTGTCCGCTCGCACACTCTCTGATGTCGTTGTACGGAAAGCGGTTACACAGGGTTCAGTCGCGGGCCGCCGGATTTTTTCGGCCGCTGCGAAAGGGCAGGGCGCGGGCGTTGCGGGGCGCGATCGAGCGGGCCTGGCGCGACGTGAGCGGGGTTGGCCGCGCGGGGCGTCATCGCATGCGATGAGGGGTGATGGGATCGAAAAAAAATCGATCTTCGTGGCGAATCGGTGGCGTCCGATAACCGGCGGTCGGGCCGTCGGAATCGGGGAGGGCCGTCAAGTCCGCGGCGGAACACGACGAGAACAAAGGAGCGGGGCTCCGATCGCCACTCCGGCGTCGGTGCGCCCGGGATCGCTCGCGAGTGCTGCCGAAAGACCCCCATCGTGACCCTCAGCGCGAAACAACAGACCGATCTGCTCGGCGACGCGTGCAGCCGGAACCTGCCGGTGGAACTGCACCGCCAGTCGATGTCGGGCGAGCTGGTCACGTACCGGGGCCGGTTCCTCCGCGAATCTGAGGGGACGCGTCTGCTCGAGATCGAGATGCCCAAGCGCGAATGGGGCGGGGCGAAGCCGATCGAGCCGGGCCACGTGCTCACGGCGTACGTCGTGACGGAGAGCGGGGTGCACTCGTTCCTGTGCGAGGTGCGCGAGGCGAAGCGCGGGCTCGAGTTGAACGAGGCGAAGAAGGTCGAGGGGCTGGTCGTCGACCGTTTGGGCGAGGTGACGACGAGCCAGCGGCGCAACGCCTACCGCATCACGCTCGCGGGGAACTACGACATTCAGGCGGAGATCCACGTCGCGACGAGCACGAAGCCGTACGCGAGCCCGATCGACGCGTTCCGGATCCGCGGCGAGGTGATCGAGAGCAGCGCGACGGGCCTGGGCGTGATGATCGAGGAGAACATCGAGCGCGCCGTGAAGCGCGGGGACATGGTCTTCGTGACGTTCGACGCGAGCAAGGGCGAGGAGCCGTTCTGCTTCCTGACCGAGGTGCGTCACGTGGCCGTGATGTTCGAGGGTGAGAAGACACGGCTGGGTCTGAAGATCACGCCGTGGCCGGGCAAGCCGGTGTACGGTCGGGAGGTGTTCCGCTTCGAGCGGTTCATCAACGAGGTGGAGCGGGAGCGCTTGCGCCGTCTCGCGGGTTAGCGGACCGGCGCAGCGCGCTTCTCGGATCGGCGCATCTGCCAGAGGCAACGCCCTTTGACACACAGAATTGGGTGGTTCACCGGCCCGGCGCTCGACGCGACCGCCGATTGTGACGAGGTTTTGGTTGAAGATTGAACACCGCGCACGCGTCGATCGGACGGGGCGTTGCGCGGTCGGCCTTTTGTGGAGCGACGAACCGATGAACCAGGCCACCGACGAGCAGCCCCAGTGGATGATCACCAACGCGTGCACCAAGCAGACGGGCATCGAGATGCATTTCGATGCGCCCGGCGGCGAGACCGTCGTCCACGGCCGGTTCCTGAGCAAGCTCAAGGACACGATCGAGTTCGAGGTCCCCGTGAAGCCGAACAAGGCGTTCGAATTCGGCGAGGGGACCGCCTTCACCGGGTTCTTCGTCGCGAGCGACGAGGCGTTCGAGTTCACCGGGACGGTCTCCGGGAGCGAGCCGGTCGAGGGGAACCCGAAGGCGGTCAAGGTGCTCGCCACCAAAGCCGGCGTGCGCTCGGTGCAGCGCCGCAAGGCGTTCCGCACGGAGTTCAGCGGCTTCTATTCGGTGCCGGTGGTGATGGTCGCGACGCAGGAGGACGAGGCGGCGGGGCCGGGGACGAAGAAGCTCGCGACCGGCGAGATCCAGGACGCCTCGGCGCTCGGGATCGCCGTCGTGCTCGAGGGGCACAAGGGGACGCGGCACAAGCCCGGGACGCGGATGTTCGCGACGTTCTCGACGGAGCTGGACCCGCGCCCCTTCGCACTGCTCTGCGTGCTCGAGCACGTGCGTGAGTTCAGCGTGACGATTTACGAGGGCGACACGGAGCGCACGGAGAACAAGACGTCGCTCGGCTTCCGCCTCGTCGAGTGGCCCAACCAGGTCGACTTCGGCAAGGAGATGACGCGCTTCGAGCGCATCGTGAACCACGTCCAGAGAGAACGCCGGAAGACGATGGCCGCGTGAACGCGGTTCTCGGACCGGGCAACCCGCACCACGCGCCCAGGCGCTCGCCGGTCGCGCCGGTCTTCGTCTCCGCCCGTCGGCCCTGACCGGGGCGGACGATAGGCTCCGGGTTGAGCCGCACGCGTTTGTGTGAGCGTGCGGCGGCGACCGATTCGGGAACCCGGAGCCCGCGACATGCCGACGGACCACGCGCAGCAGCTTTTCGAGATCGCCTGTACCGAGCACGCGCCGGTCGAGGTGCACGTCCTGTTCGACGACGGGTTCGCCTCCGCCATCGAGGCCAGGCTCGTCGCGCAGTGCGACGGCGGCGTGACCGTCGAGTTCACCGGCGCCTGCGCCGACCTCGGCGACGTCCGCATCGGCAACCGGTACACCGCCACGCTGGAGACCGAGGGCGCGACGCTCTCGTTCTGCGGGGAAGTCCGCGGCGCGCGGACGGATATCGGCGAGGACCCCGTGCGCACGACGGTCGAGCTCACGCGGGGCGAGGTGCTCGACGCGGGCGAGGCCGACGCGGGCGAGGGGTGGTCGCTCGCGGCCTGAGGATCAAGTATTCGCGGCCGGATCAGGCGCCCACGGGCTCGAGCTTCATGGCGCGCGCCATGGCGCCGCCCATGTCCGCCGGGGTCTCCGCGATCTCGAAGCCGGCCTTGCGGAGGGCGTCGATCTTGGAATCGGCCGTGCCCTCGCCGCCAGAGATGATCGCGCCGGCGTGGCCCATTCGCTTGCCGGGGGGCGCGGTGCGGCCCGCGATGAACGAGGCGAGCGGCTTCGTGACGTTCTGCTTCGCGTACTCGGCGGCCGCCTCTTCGTCGGTGCCGCCGATCTCGCCGATCATGAGGATGGCGTGGGTGTCGGGGTCGGCCTCGAAGAGCTCGAGGCACTCGATGAAGCCCATGCCGCGGACGGGGTCGCCGCCGATGCCGATGCAGGTGCTCTGCGCGAGGCCGAGGGAGCTGGTCTGCCAGACGGCCTCGTAGGTGAGCGTGCCGGAGCGGGAGACGATGCCGACGGCCTTGCCGGCGGGCGCTTCGGAGATGTGCTTGTTGATGTAGCCGGGCATGATGCCGATTTTGCAGCCGGCGTTGGTGTACGTGTCGTTCGCGGAGTCGCCCGAGCCGGTCTTGGGACCCGGCGTGATGACGCCCGGGCAGTTGGGGCCGACGAGGTAGATGCGGTCTTTCGCGGAGCGGCCGGCGTTGACCTCGTCGAGCACGTGGCGGACGCGGACCATGTCCTGAACGGGGACGCCCTCGGTGACGGCGACGATGAGCGCGATGTTCGCGTCGATCGCCTCGAGGATGGCGTCGCCCGTGAAGGGGGGCGGGACGAAGATCATGGTGGCGCTGGCGCCGGTGTCGTCGACCGCGTCCTGGACGGTGTTGTAGATGGGCAGGCCGTTCTCGTCCTTGGTGCCGCCCTTGCCCGGGGTGACG